TTTCCTTGCACAACACTTTCGTATGAACATTTCGTTTAACTTATAATGGCAGTTCTGCTTTATTTATGCGCGTACAATAAAACAAAATAAAACCTGAACATAAACCCTGGACATTCTTCCACAGAAACGCTTTTGTGGAACACACATCTTCATTTGAAAATATCAGATATAAACCTTTATGTAACGACAGAGCCATGCACTACTGCAACTGCAATAACATCACACCACCATCTTTGTTTTAGCAAGTTGCTGTATACATTTTTTTTAATTCACTCTGCGAAGGAGATGGCAAGATCACTTGTATAGCTTTGTGTAGGTCACAGCGACTCCGATTGTGTATCTGCTCTGATTGTGTATCCGTGTTATGAGTCTGACATGTTTTTTTGATTGTCTCTAGATGTGTGACGTGACATTGACTATATAATGCATATCCTAACTTGGTTCTGTCTGAAAAACACTGAAAGAAACTGAGAATAAACTTCCAGGTTGCTCTGGTGCGTCTAAGTTCCTGTCTGTGAGGCTTTCCACAAAACATTCAACTTGCTTTTATCATGTAACTTATAACGTGACTCAATCTAGGCTTGGAAAGTTAATATGTATAGCACAGTTCAAGTGCAGAGACAACATGAAACAAACACACAAAATCATAAATAATCACAGTACATCAAAAAGAGTGAAGATACAGTCCACCAGATGTATTCACAGCTAAACAGAATCGTCTTTAACCTGGATTTGAACATAGTCAGAGTCAAAGCCTGTCTCACATTTTCATTTTCTGTTCCGGATTTTAGTTGCATAAATCTGAACGCTGCCCATGTTCAGTTCTGACTCTGGGCATCAACAGAAGACCAGTCCCTGTGCTCCTCAGAGTCCCAGTTGGTTCATATGGCACAGATGCACTTTGGTGCGAGTCCATGGAGAGCAACAAGGAGAGCTGCTTTAAAACCTTTTCTCTGAGCCACAGGAAGCCATTGCAGAGAACTGGGAACTAGACTTCATGGTACTTCCTGGTTCTAGTCAGGACTCGAGCTGCAGCAGATTGAATCACTAGCAGCGCTAGTTTCATGACTGTAGGTAGGCCTCCAGATTAGTAGGTAGGCAAACTAATTCACAAGGGGGGTCTTGGTTACATTTTTTAAAATACGGTTTATGCATAATGTGTGTTTTTATTATTGTTTGGACATTACACCTCCCAGGAGTGCAGGTGGCAGAGAGCTGATTGGTTGAGTGAAGGTGGTCCTCTATTTTTCAGTTTTCTGTCTGAAAAAGGTGATCTATCCATCCATCCATTTTCTAAGCAGAGACGCCCAGACTTCCCTATCCACACACACTTCCTCCAGCTCGTCCGGGGGAACCCCAAGGCGTTCCCAGGCCAGCTGAGAGACCCTCCAGCGTATCCTGGGTCTTCCCCGGGGTCTCCTCCCAGTGGGACGTACCCGGAACACCTCCCCAGGGAGGCGTCCGGGAGGCATTCGGAACAGATGCCCGAGCCACCTCAACTGGTTCCTCTCTATGTGAAGGAGTAGCGGCTCTACTCTGACCTCCTCCCGTGTGACCGAGCTCCTCACCCTATCTCTAAGGAAGCGCCCAGCCACTCTGCGGAGGAAGCTCATTTCGACCGCTTGTATCCGCGATTTCGTTCTTTCGGTCATGACCATAGGTGAGGGAGGGAACGAAGATTGACCGGTAAATCGAGAGCTTTGCCTTTTGGCTCAACTCCCTCTTCACCACAACAGTCCGATACAGCGAGCGCATCACTGCGGGGTCTTGTTCACTTCCCTCACTCGTGAACAAGACCCCGAGATACTTGAACTCCTCCACTTGAGGAAGGACCTCTCCACCACCTGAAGAGGGCAATGCACCTTTTTCCGGTCTAGCACCGTGGCCTCAGATTTGGAGGTGCTGATTCTCATCAAGTACAAGTACCCAAAAACTAGTGATAGAGCCCTAACCCTTTTTTGAGAGTGAGGAAACTAGTGACATGGATTATACTTCCATTTATGAGTTTTTAAGGTGACTTAACCTTAAAAAGGTGAGCCCAAAAAAAGAAGAAGAAAAAAATCTGAATGGGTTTAATGTTACAAACATGTACGGTTGGAAATAGTGAAAATTGTTATCATTAATTGACACTGTTTGTTTAAAGCCTCTTGTCTTTGAGAGCATTGAGTCAACAACCAGATGTTCGTGTTACATTTTGATGGAACTCTCAATAATGACATTTTTAAATGTTTCAAAACATCTGCTATTAATTGGATTCGAGAGACAAGTTATGGAAATGCAATCTCTGTACAAACCAATGCAATTAGCAAGACTAAATAACACACATTTGTGTTATTTAGTCAAACCGCAATTGATAAAAAACACATAGAGCCACTAGTCCCTAAGGGTGGGTGACCAATGACCATAAATTTCCCTGTTTTCCAAAGCCTGAGTCCGAAAGATCTCAGACACTAAGAAGCTAAGCAGAGCATGGCCTGGGTAGCTTTGTGATGGGAGATAACAGTGACCAAAAGCTGAACTGTGGTTGTTTCTTTAGGCAAGACACTTCACCCGCTTAGATGACGATACAGTATGTACGTTTTACACACATAGCAACTGATAGCAGGTTTGAATGACTTTATACTACGTATCTCAAATGCTAGCTTATCCACGGTAGGGATTTGCAGATACAGATGTATGGATAATAATAATGGTAATAATGCAGTAGTTTTATAAAGCGCTTTTTATGACACTCAAAGACGCTTCACATGTCATTATTCTTTCGCTTCATACACGGTTTACTATTACTTCAATCCGCTTCAATTACTTCACTATTACTGTAGCCACAGCTGCCCTGGGGCACATTGACAGAAGCGAGGCAACCAGTATGTGTCATCTGCCCCTCTGACTACCACCAGCCATTCACATCTATACAATGGGGGTGAAGTGTCTTGCCTATGGACACAACAACAGTTTGGCACTTTACCCCCGCAGCCGCCCCACTGTGGAGACCTGGTCTTCTACACCAGCTTCAGAGGTCGGACGAGATCTGACTTTCGGGCAGTATACTGTTGCACCAGTCCCAAGCATTTACAGCTATTTTTCTCTGTATTTTGTGTGTAAAAGTTTTTAGCACAAAAATAAAAAGCCCTAAATCACAACAGTAGTTTTCTTGGAGGACTTTACAAAGTTGTTGTTTTGCCAACACAGGTCAGAGAATCAAACAGCAATTGATAAAAAACACATAGAGCCACTAGTTCCTAAGGGTGGGTGACCAATGACCATAAATATCTTAAAACGTCCTTAAAGTGTTCTTAGACCATCTTGCAAGCTTATTTGTATAGCACAATTCATACACAAGGGAACTCAGTATTTAACAATCACACAAGGTTTTACAATCATAAACAATCACAATACATTAAAAAAGGGTGAAAATGCAATCCCAAACGGAAGGGAAACGAAAACAAATCCACAAGAGAATCAATGTCGAAATAAAATCTTCCCCCAAACCATTTCAGAACCACTCACACTGCTTAGTATCATGGGTAAGTACTACCCCTCCGTTTGAGAAGCGCAGCTCTGGAGTCCAGCCTTCACTGAGCAATGTTCCGGCGCTTTGTAACAAGAAGATAAAAATAAATGAAAGTCTATGTGTTTGAAAAGGTGAGCGTCATTGGCGGAGCGTGGGAGGGAGAGAAACACAGGATTCAGGAGGATTTGTTTCAGTAATAGGGCACTCATTAAGTCACAGGGAGAAAAAGAGACCAGAAGAATAGACTTGAATAGAAGCAAAACATTTAGTGTAGCAGTTTGGATTTCACACACCGTTGAATTAAACGTAATGACTATTCATAACGTGTTTAAATTTGATTCAATTAACAACATAAAAAAAGGAAGGAGAGTGATGCCCTGAGGGGAGAGAGGTGTAGGGTTCGTGAGTGTTTGGGGCCTGTGTTGTAGGGATGTAAATCGGCGACCGTTTAACCGGTGGTTGACCGTCATAGCGTTAACCGGTCAAAGCTGTCGGTTAAAAAAGAGAAAAAGGGGAGAGGGGAGGTCTCTTAATAACGCTATTTTAAGCCCTATTTGCACGGTGTGACGAGCGGGTCTGTATCTAGCTGTGTGCGCCAATGTATTATAAACTCCGGGACGACTCTCACGCCGCACGAGCCACATATGCACACACGCACGCGCGCGCACACACACACACACACACACTTTCCCCCTCTCCATACGTAACATCCACACGCGTCATCTCTCCCCTCTGTTACCGTCAAAGTTGCACACTGGCGCGGGTCAGAACTACATTGGAGCTTACATTTACACACACACACATATACATACACACATATACATCAGTGGCGGCCGGCCAATAGAGGGCGCTAGGGCGCCGCCCCACCACTCACAACTTGCCATGTTACCTTGAATAAAACGTTAAAAAAAATAATAACATTAAAATATTTCGAAATTTATGTGTGTTTTATTTCAGATGTGGAAGAAATACTTTATAGTTTATGCTGAGTTGGATTGATTAAGCTCATCAGCGTTGTCTGTGTCGGACTGAGGACGTATTTCCGCCTCAGGGCGCAAAAGATTGCGCCCTGAGCCGTCTATGGACTCTCGTTAAAAGTTGTACATGCGCAGTAGCTCCTCTTCAATGCAAGAGATAAGACGATTTGGGGGCGCAGGAGAAGTGCGCCCTGAGGGGGCGGGATCGCCCGCGACCTGTACTGTCACTGTCTGTGACGTCCGTTTACAGTGATTGACAGGTCAAGGAATTACCATCAAATTCCCTTGGATTGTGCCATCAACATATGTATATGCAATTATTATATGCTGTTACCTTTTCTGGAGTTTGATGGGCCCCCGGAAAATGGATAATTCAACTCTATACCCACCAAAGAGGAGTCAGTACCTCTTGTTTACAAGATTTCTCAATTTTGGACATGCCAGGCCGCCCCCATGTAAAACTGATCAATCATTTAAATCTAGATCATCCCTGGGGGCTTTGGAACTTGTGTTTATACTACTTTTGGCTGGTGACATTGAAATAAATCCTGGTCCAGGCCTAGATGGACAACAGCAAGCAGGCCCAACAACTGAGCTAATCTGGCTACAACCACAGCTACCCTGGTTCTTCCCTCAGTTGCCTGGGCTACAGCTAACCAGGCCTCCACCACCTGGGCTGCAGCTACCTGGGCCTCCACCACCTGGGCTGCAGCTACCTGGGCCTCTACCACCTGGGCTCCAGCTACCTGGGCCTCCACCACCTGGGCTACAGCTACCCGGGCCTCCACCACCTGGGCTACAGCTATTTGGGCCTCCACCACCTGGGCTACAGCTACCTGGGCCTCCACCACCTGGGCTACAGCTACCTGGGCCTCCACCACCTGGGCTACAGCTACCCGGGCTTCCACCACCTGGGCTACAGCTATTCGGGCCTCCACCACCTGGGCTACAGCTAGCCGGGCCTCCACCACCTGGGCTCCAACTACTCGGGCCTCCACCACCTGGGCTACATCTTCCCGGGCCTCCACCACCTGGGCTACATCTTCCCGGGCCTCCACCACCTGGGCTGCAGCTACCCGGGCCTCCACCACCTGGGCTGCAGCTACCCAGGCCTCCACCACCTGGGCTGCAGTTACCTGGGCCTCCACTACCTGGGCTACAGCTACCCGGGCCTCCACCACCTGGGCTACAGCTAACCGGGCCTCCTCCACCTGGGGTACAGGTGACTGACCCTCCATTACAAAAAAAGGTCAGAAATCCCATTTTCCAAAAACATCGGACTTCTAAGATATTTCACACACTTAATCAGGCAAAGATTATCTGGGATCCGCAAGCCAAACCAAAAGGCTTATTAGGTGGACACCTGAATATACGGAGTATGGCACCTAAACATGAAGAGCTTCAACATCTGCTCTGCAACTCGAACATTGACTTTCTGGGGCTTTCCGAAACCTGGTTAACACCCAACTCTCCAGACTCAGTGGTAACTATGCCGGAGTATAATGTCTACAGGAATGATAGGGAACATGGGAGGGGTGGAGGTGTTCTACTCTATGTTAAAAGCGCTCTAAAATGTAGACAAATAAATTGGCCGCAAGACATCCAGCTTGAGTGTGTTGGTGTAGAACTCTCTCTCTCCCCTGCAATGAATTTCATTATAATTTGTCTATATCGTAAACCATCTGCTAAATTGGACTTCTATGACAAGTTAAAACTTCTTCTTGATCATTTGGATATAAACAAAGAAATCATAATTATTGGAGATTTCAATATAAATTGGAATGATAAGAAAGTTCGAAAAAACCTGAAACAACTCACTGAACATTCTAATTTTAACCAGTTAATAGAACAACCTACTCGAATAACTTCACATTCAAAAACATTGATAGACTTGCTCTTTGTAAATAAACCTGAAAGAATCATCAAAACTTTTAACTTTGTGACTGGGTTGTCTGATCACAATGCTATCTTCTTCTCAAGAAAACTTTCAAAAAAACGTTTTGAAGACTCATATAGGCCAAATGTAAAAGACTCACCGAAAACCATTATTCCCAGAAGATCATTACCAAATCTTGTAGTAGCCTTGCAATGTACCGATTGGAACGAAATTACTCAAAGTGAGGATGTTGAAATTAGTACCTGTTTATTTCACAAGAAAATTAATGAAGTATTGTTAAACTTTACCAAAAAAGAAAGCCATAACAAAAAAAAGAGAAATCTATTACCATGGATAAATGACGAATGTAAGAAACTGATGAGAGACAGAGATAAGCAATTAAAGAAATATATCAAATCCTGCCTCATCACAGATAGGTATACATTTACCTCACTGAGAAATAAGGTTATTCAAAAAATGCGGAAAGCCAAAGCAACATTTTTTATGAATATTCTTTCTGAAGCAAATGGAAATCCCAAGAAGATCTGGCAAAATCTAAATAAATTAGCTGGGAAAGATGATAAAGCAAAACAGCAAGGAATTGAGCTAAAAATAAACAACATTTCTGTGTCGGATCCAGATACACTGACAAATGAATTTAATAACTATTTTGTCAACTCTGTCAGGGAAATAAGTGAGTTATTTGCATCCTCTGATTTGAAAACAAGGTCAATTGATCCCACACAGCCTGTCTTTCGTTTACGTGAAATAACAGGGCTAGAAGTTTCCAAAATTATTGGTTCACTAAAAAATTCTAAAGCCAAAGACATTCATGGTTTGGACACTCATCTTCTAAAATTATGCAAAGAGTCTTTTATTGCACCAATAACACAAATGGTTAATTTGTCACTCAATCAGGGAGTTGTTCCATCCTCCTGGAAACTGGCCACAGTCGCTCCAATTTTTAAATCTGGTGACAGATCGCAAATATCCAATTATCGACCAATTTCTATACTTCCAGTTGTTTCCAAGATTGTTGAGAGATGGGTAGCAAATATTTTAAATGAACATCTGAACAATAGTTCATCTAGCTTGCATCCCATGCAATTTGGTTTTAGAGCAAACCATTCCACTGAATCAGCAAACAGCTTCTTTATAGAAAATGTAAAAAGTAAATTAGATATATATCCCTGTGTTGGTGCAGTGTTCCTTGATCTTAAAAAGGCATTTGACACTGTCAGCCATGAAATTCTGATAGCAAAATTAACAGACTTCAACTTCTCGCCAGAGGCCATTCAATGGATGAAATCATATTTAGCTTCACGAAAACAATGTGTACATATTGGCAGTGTAAAGTCATCAATCCAGGATGTCCCAGTCGGTGTGCCGCAAGGATCAATACTTGGCCCCCTATTATTCTCACTGTACATAAATGATCTTCCCAAAACATGTACTAATGTGAGTTTTCAAATGTATGCAGATGATGCTGTAATATATACTCATGCAAGGAGCGTTAAGGAAGCAGCTTCCATTCTGACCTCAGCCATGGAACAAGTAAATGACTGGCTATTTAAATCATGCTTGCTTCTAAATTCTAAAAAAACGGTCTGTATGATGTTCTCCAAGCAATCAAAAGTGATGAAAAATTCTGGAGTTTTCTTGAGAGGGGAAGAACTACAACTTGTCACAGAATTCAAGTATCTGGGTCTGACACTCGACTCCACTCTATCTTTTAAAGATCATATAAAAAAACTGGCCAACACCATTAAATTCAACCTTAAAACTTTTAAACAAATCAGGTCTTTTTTAACACTTAATGCAGCCAGAATGTTTCTCCATTCAATGATTTTATCCCATGTTGAATATTGCATCACAAGTTGGTCTCTCACCACTGTAACCAATTTGAAAATAATTGAATCTCTGTATAAGAAATCTCTTAAAGTTTTTGACAGAAAACCCAATTCATTTCATACATGCAATATTTTAAACAAGCACAATCTTTTAAATTTTGAAAGTTTTATCAACTTTAAGTATGTATGCTTCATCTACAAAGCGCTACATGGACTAGCCCCACCTCCTGTATCGGCCCTATTCAAACCTAGGACTTCAAGTGGCCTGAGGACTAGGGCCTCCTCCAGAGGAGACTGTGAGGTCCCCTTCAGAAAAACTACATTTGGACAGAACACTCTCTCTGTGAGGGCCATGAACATCTGGAACAGTCTCCCTCTGCACTTACGGGAGAGTCCTACACTGGTCACCTTTAAAACTCAAATCAAACAATGGATTAAGAGAAATCAGTCATGTGACCACTAGATTCTGAACTATTCTCTGTGCTAGTTGTATTATAGTGTTATTTTGTATTTTATTGTATTGTATTTCGTTATGTATTTTCCTGCCTAGGGACTACGGATGAAAACTAGCTTTGTAGCTATAATCCGGCATATTTACATTTGTTTTATACTGATGTTCATTAATGTGCATTGTCCCTATCAAATAAATAAATAAATAAAATAAGCTGTGGGAGTTTGAGACGAACGTAAAGAGACGCAAAATGGAGAACGAGAAAAAGAATAATTCAGTTAGATCACTCAAAACAATACCGTTTGAGAGAAGATCATACCAGGAGAAGGTTGAGGTTAAAGAGCTTGGACCTGATCAGCCAAATATTACCATTAGTCAGCAGTCCAGCGACAGGGGGAGACGGTACACTCGTACTTTTTCCAGGACCTGGTTCAGCGCCAAATCTTGGCTAGCAGCATGTAGCGAGGCTAATGCTTTATTTTGCTTTCCATGCCTCTTGTTTCAAACATCAGGATCTGACCCAGCATGGATCAAGACAGGTATGACTGATCTGAAGCACTTTTTAGAAAAGGCAAAGAAGCATGAGCAGACTGGTATCCACATGCAAAATGCCCTCAAATTAGCTATGTTTGGGAAGATAAATATTTCATCCCAGCTGGATGAAAGCTACAGGGTAGGGATCAGAAAGCATCATGTGACCTTGTTGATTCTCGTGTGAGGCTTCAGTCACAACAGTCAGTGTAAACTTACTTACTGCTGGTATATATCTAGTCATCATATTCATAGCCCCCCCAGTAGAAAATTCCACCAGCCGCCACTGATATACATACACACATACATACACACACACATACCGGTCTGTCGCGCTCCTCTGTGTCACGGAGCCCAAAGGATTCGCGCAAATACGCGGCTCCAGTCAAACCACATGGAACATGTTTGTGTTTTTGGTCCTCGGGATCAGCTCCACAACATCACTTGTATTTAAACTTTTGTGAAGACCTGTGAGACGCGGCTCGTCACTCGCTGCTCTGACCATGTGAACGAGCCGTCGTTTGCTGCTAGAAAGTTTTGGTATTAACCCGCAGCACAGCAGAATGGGAAGATTAAAAAAGCAGTTCTCTGTGCGCAAAGGTGCCGGAGCTGTTGCGGGTTTGGGCGCCGCTGTCTCAGCTCTGATCCTGTAGAACGCAGAGCTGCACTTATGAAAAGTACGCGGCTCGAAATGGCTGTTATTTCAAAGAACGTGGACTATTTTAAACTACGCGGTCAACCGGTTTCAACCGGTTAATGAGGCTCGGTGGTCGGTCATGAAAATTCATAGTTTTTTACATCCCTACTGTGTTGTGTCTGTGTGAATAAATGTGTGTGTTACTGCTATTATGTGTTTTGTGGAAGGGTACTGTAGGGTAATGATTCTTGTTCTTATGTAAGAAACTAAGTAATATTTATTTATATAGCAAATTTTTTTTGCTTTACAATGTCCAGAGTTCAAATATTATTCCATTCACTCTACACAGTGATGACGGAAGCAAGACCTGTCGTGCATGTTTTTAGTGGTACCAGGAGGAAACCTACACAGGGAGAAAACAAGCTTTCTGGTTAGATAAATATATATTGGTCCTCTTTTTTGATAAAGGACCTGCAACATTGTCAGTGTATCACAAGCCTCATTCCCACTGAGGATTTCCTTTCCTCACTCACTGAGCGACACGGCCTGGTGGGTCAAAACAACTCAGCATTTAACCCTCTTTTCGACCTAGTCTTTTTGCTGAGCCGTGTTCAGTGTGAACATGTGATCAAATGTAACGCTAATTTAGAGGCAAATAAAACCAAAATGTTTTCCAGGCTGTTCACATGTAGGTCAGGGGACTACACTCAAGTTACATGAGGGGCAATACTGTTAAGGCCCAACAGGCGAACCCTAATGGTGCTTTCAGACCGGATCATGCGTTGCATCGGCTTTCAATGCAAAGTCTATGGTGACTCGCGTTCGAGCGTCACAACGCACGGACCTCTCGGCACGCACAGACGGACTGTTCAGTAGACACGCACGGACTTGGC